CGGGGGGCGGGGGCGGAGGCGTGGGGGAGCCGCGCTCTGCCTTCCCCGCTGCTGCTCGGCGGAGACGAGGCGGCCGGAGCAGGAGGGGAGCGGAAGGAAAAGCTGGGGGAGCGGGCCGCCGTGGGGAGATACTGGTGTTGGAGAGAAGAATTGAAAGAAGCTAGTGGGTGGCGAGAGGCAGGAACGGAGGCGCCCCGCTGAGAAAGCAGTAAAAGCAGGAAAGACAAACTACGAGAAGAAGCAAAGTAATAAAGAAAAGGGGAAGAGAGGAGATAAAGTGATTCCTCCGAGAAAGAAGAAGGCGAAGGAGAGGGAATACGGAAGGACTCCACTGATGAGAGAGAGGAGTTGAAAGACCCTCCCCCGAGAGACACCAAACAGAGACTGACTCTCAAACTCTCTCTCTCTTTGTCACACCACAAGGATTTGATGCCCCTCAGCCTGTTCACTTCTGTGTGTTCATGTTTCCCACAGGTTTCTCTTCCCCCAACCCCCCAGCTGCAGCCCAGGAGGTCAGACCTGCCACTGATGGTAATACCAGCAGCAGCTCCTCCTGCAAGAAGAGAAAGTTAAATAACAGCAGCAACAGCAATTCTGAAAGAGAAGAATTTGATTCCATTTCTTCCTGCGCCTCTTCTCCTTCCAAAAACACCTCCTCATCATCTTCCTCCGTCATCACCACCTCCTCGTGCTCCTCCTCAGGGGTCGCCTCCTCTAACCATCACCTCCAGAAGAAGCTGCGCTTTGAGGACTCCGTGGATTTTATTGGACTCGATGTGAAGATGGCTGAAGAGTCTTCTTCCTCCTCCTCTCCTGCTGCCTCTTCTCAACAGCAGCACCAACAACAGCTCAAAAACAAAAGCCTTTTAATTTCATCAGTGGCTGTGGGGCACCATGCAAATGGCCTGACCAAAGCTGCCTCCTCTACTGTTTCCAGTTTCGCCAACAGTAAACCTGGCTCTGCTAAGAAACTAGTGATCAAGAACTTTAAAGGTAACAGGCCATAATTTGTCACAACCTGTGGGGAGCTGACGCTCAAATTTGTGTTTTGTTTTCAACATGAAAACTGGTTGGCTTTCAAATAGCTGCAAGTTTTACAGGAAATGCTTTTCTGTGGTGAACGTTTCTACACTTCTGTAAAGGGGGGATAATGTTTTCTGATGCATACTTGCCTAGTCATGTACACATCCTGAGCCACACTTCGCTGCTTGGGATTATTTTTCAGACTCCTTCCGCTCTATCTGTTGAGAAGGCTTTAACTTGTATGTTAGACAAAAGGTTTTACTATATAAGTGTGTAAATCACCTTTCTTCAAACTTTAATGTTTGACATGTCTTTCCTAGTCATCCTGATTCAGGGCTTAGTATATTTTTTTAGCCCAGTTCATGATAAGTCTTTGCAAAGAATGTGTTTTTTTTAAATTAGGCCTGAATCTGTATGTCTTGCCTCTGTCCATGTCTGTTTATAGGTTAATCTGCCTGTGCTTAGTTTTAAATGTTGAACCTAAGGTGATTATCAGGCTATTATGACGGATTTCCTTTCTGGTTTCCCCACTTGCCTTTAAAGTAGGTAGTTCAGATTTTTGCTGAGTGTTTTTCTTGCGATATCCTTGACGTAGTTTTTATTATTTAACTCTTTAATGTCTTTTCGCTGTCTTAACATACTCTCACTTTACAAGCTTACATTATTTTATAAATTCTCTCAAAAGAGGTATTTGAGATTCTCGAGTATTGTTACTAGAGACCAACTGAAGCAGAGAAATGAAACTTTTCTGCTGTGGTGCTGCTTCATTTTCTAGTAAACAAAAATACAAATAGATGTGGGCAGAAAGCTTAGCTAAAATTCTGTCACTTTTTTCCCTATGAAGATGGGGAAATTGTGGGCTTTTCTTATTTCCTGCCTTTTGCTACCTTCTAAAATAGTCTTGATAGCTTGCTTTCTTGGGTTGTTTTTCTTTTTCCCCGTGTGTTTGGGGTTGGGGGGGTAAAAGATATTGCTAACATTAAAATTAATTTCTAACTACGCAATTGATAGAAATATTCTACAGAGATATCGCAGAAGGTAAGGATTAGGATTATTTTAGCCACAGTGATGTTTTACAGCAATTCATGATCACAGGGTAACTTTTTGCTTTAAGGTCCTCCTAATTCTCAAAAATGTCCTCCGCCCATCATGTCATCATCAATTAATTTGAATATTTTAAAATTTATACTTATGATGCCTGATAGTGAGAAAGAAGTGCTACTTTTCTGTTGCTTGTACGCTGTTATCTTTAAGGGAAGTCAACTTTTCATGTTTAAAATATTTGTTAAATGTCATGGATTGCATGGTGCTGTGATCATCATTGCTTATGAATTGGTATTTGAATCACTTGCCTAAAAAGGATGTTTCAAGAATCTGCCAGCTTTGCTTTTTATTTACTCTCAGATGCTAAACTGAATAATAATCTTAGAGATTATTGTCTTTATCTTAGCATGATAGCAATAACATCCTTTACAACTTAAATAACTTCCTAAAATCCAGAATCTTGGTATTTACTGCTGACTAGCATACTCATTAGTTGCTAGTGAAAACAGGCAAGTCTCACTTGTAGTTAGTTGTCTCTCTAGATTCTTACGATACAGTTCATGTTGAAATATTGTAGGGATGTAGGGAAATGCTTGGGAGGACAAAAAAATTACTTCTCTCTGTTTGTTATTTCTAGAGAAATCATACGTTTAAAATAACATAATTTGTTTTTTACCTTTAGGTATGTAAAAGTCCATTTTAATAGAGGATAAACTCTGGGCCAGTTTCACCTGTTGGTGGCATGAATGTGCATGTGACTTCCTCCCTAAATTTTCTTCTCCTTCTTTCTCCATTTGGGAACCTGCTTATTAGAACAAAAATGGTCATTTTGGCTAGTTATGAGAATACACAGAATTTTAAAATAGTCCTGGTATTCTGAGGGTGTGACTTGGGGAATCTCTTTTAGCCTGTTGTAAATGCTTTAGTGCTGCTGAAGATGCTGTATAGCAGGCACACCTCTAGAAAGGAGGCTGAAAAAAATAATGTCAAATCTTCAAAGCTTGAGCTATTTGAACATTAAAAGAGGGTTTAACTCTAACAAATATCCACTGGCCAAACCCAAGACAGATGTAAATGGATTACTTTAAAATAGGAAGGTTTTCCTTGCGACCATAAAGCCTGTATTATAATTACAGTATTTCAATGCATGTTTCTTGAGGGTTTCTTTCCAACTGTTAATACAAAGTAGAATTAATGAGCAGTAAATTAAAAGAATAAGCTATACGCGACTCTGTATCTTTTAATCCATTTTTTTCGGCTTTTATGTTCACTTTCTTTTAGCTGTGCTGTCCTGGTAGTGAAAAAGAGTGTAATGAAGTTGTAGATCATCCTTGCTGGTTTTTAGCTTTTTATCCCATCTTGAGCTGCTCAGACGCAGTATTGTGATTTTTATAAATCACACATACTGTTTGGGCTACAGATACTGTGATGTGCATGTGAAGAGCAATGCTGAATTTTTACAATGCGTTACTATTTCGAATGTAAATAAGATACTGCTTTTACACTAATGCTTTCTTTTCATGTAAGTATAAATTAAAATCTAGAGCATCAGCCCATACCTCTTTCCTTTCAAAGCTACATTTTCATTTCTGTAAAAGGCAAAATGTTCTGCTTTTTCTAAATACTTTCTCAAACTCTGTATAATTTCTTTTAAAGATAAACCCAAATTGCCTGAAAACTACACAGATGAAACCTGGCAAAAACTGAAAGAAGCTGTAGAAGCTATCCAGAACAGTACTTCAATTAAATACAATTTAGAGGAGCTCTATCAGGTAAGTGCTTTAAGTAAAAGCGACGGGGTAGGGTTTTTTGTTTTGTCGTTGGATTTTTTTTTGCTTAAAACACTTTTGAATCAGTGGTAAGAATATGACATTTTGCTTGATAGCTGCTTTTTGTCATTGAAAAACTTTTCATTGAATAGTTTCTCCAATTTTAAAATCATCAGTAAAAATTTCACAAGACCTAACATTGAACTCAGAAATTTTTTTACTTGCTACAACATAATCCAAGGTATGGTTTCCCTTGTAACAGTTGACAAGAATTAAATAAGGCAAGGAGCTGTATTCCCTTTACTGTTTTGAGGTTTATGGTGTATAGCTGCTAAAGGAGAAATGTGAAATCCTAAAACGGTAGTGTTTAGGTAAGAAAAAGATGATTTATATTAAAATACAATCCTTTTTCTGAAGACAGTATCTGTTCATGATTAAGGTTCATAAATCATTTAAAAACTGGAACTTTTTATTTGACTTCTTAAAAGTAAGTAGAATACAATTTTTCTTCATGAATTGTATTATTTTGGTTTGATTGTAATTTTTTATCATTCAGCATTCTGTCTATTCTAACAACTGAGAATGAAAATTTATTCCCAGCAACAGCTCTGATTGTTTTGCCCTAAATGTTTTAGGAAATGATCAGACTTGAACTGCATTTCCTAACTTTTTTTATACGCTCCGCTTCTGCTTTTTCAGCTGAATGCGTTAGGGATACTTCTCCCCCTCCTCACATTTTCCCTACTAACATCGTGCTACTTGTGGTTTTAGCGGCCTAGCAACAGTACTGCTTTAGCTAGGTATTAAGCACTTACACCTTTTGCTCTACTTTTAAAGCCTTCATTACCTGGTTAGTTCTTTGATTTGTCCCTATGTGTGTATATAGCCTTCTCTTCATCTGTTTTTAGTGTCTCTTCTTCCCCTGCCCTCCCCTTTTCAATAAAAGTTGCACTTGGATATAACTGATTTCTGTGAAAAGTAGAGCGAAAAATCCTGTTTGCACAAGGTTTGGGGACAGATTTAGGGAAGGATAAATTGCCGTTCTTTGTGGAACCAAGAACATCATGGGCCAAGTTCCTCAGTCCAGTGCATTCTTAAGCTCATTATATAATCTTTTATAATGTTCAATTAATTTAAAAATAGCTTTTTTAACAGTTTGTCAGGATAATATATAGTATTGATAAAGTAACACCAGTATTATTACTGTTGCAAAACTTGGTGAAACTAATAAATTGCAATCTGCTGTATTGGCTGGTATTGTAAATTACTTACTCTAGACTGAACAACAGAGCAAGTAACTGTTAATTAAATACTTGAAGGATATCCAAAATTGTTTAAAAATACAAAGTTCTATTGAAAGCCTCGCTTCTGCTTCACAGTTATCACTTAAATTTCTGCTCACTTTTACCGCAGGCTTAATTTAATGTTGCTTGTGCTCAGAAAACCAAAAATAACGCTTTTTTTCTTTTAAATCTCAGTTTTAACATTGTAATAACTTTAGATACTTTTCAATGAAATAGAGTGCAATCAAGTATGAGATTTTTCTTTTTTTTTCATAAATCTAAAAATAAATGTCTTGATTTAAAAATAGTAATAGGAATCACTAGTGTTTTTAAGTGCTAACTAAACTAATGTCATTTCTGAACAGCTGCTTGGTAAATGGATCTGATGCCAAATATGCCTTGGCAGACACCATTATCCAAGCATAGAGGGGAATTGCAAAAGAGTCTGCAAAAGTTCTGCTGCACACCTCAAAACAGGATACTTCTTTTTTTAATGGAGTTATTTGGTTTAACTCTTGTCTGTGTTGGAAAATCCCACTGAGCAAACGTTTTGAGGCTTTATTTCCTTCTGGGACACTAGCTTCGTACTTGCTTTGTTCCTGCCCAGCAAGAGAAATTATACATACCTTTGAGTAGCTGAAGTGCTGCAGAATTGAAAGCTTCTTTATTAGAATAATTTTCCTTAGTTTAGTACCAGAAAATAGAGATCTAGATCTTTGGTACCAGGTCCCTAGTTAATTTTTTTTTTAAATCAATCACATAGTTAAGTATTTCTGGAAAGTTCTGATTTTTCTCTCATCAGAGTTGTGTTCAGTTCTTTTTCCTAGTTCTCCCCAGCACACAAACCCAGGTGTGGATGCTGCAGTTAAAAAAAAGGAAAAAAGAAAAAAAACACAGAATATATGCTGCTTTGCCTTCAGATGTTCTGACCATCTTCAGGGCACAGATTCTCTGATCAGAAAGCTTTATTCTACTAATTCAGAACAAGATAATTTTTGTGAACTAGAGCCTCTAAAGTTCTTGGGGAATTTTTGATACGTTACAATTATTGTTGTGTAACACCAGTAATTAAATTTGCAAAGCATAATATTGCAGTAGTGGTGTTATGCTCCACAGAGCAAATCTTGGTAAAAGTTTTTGTATTCGTGTCCTTAGAAAGTTCACTTGGGCAGAATTCACAAATTAACATCCAGAGAAATGTTTTGATTTTATCAATGAAGAAGTTTTGCACTTGATGTTCAAACACTCAGTACTAGCAGACGTGTTTAACACTTTGGAATTTCTGATACACAAATGCAAAAGCACAGCTTTATATGAGCACTACATAAAAGTAAGTGTATGATAATACACGTTAACTTATTTCACTAAGAGATACTGGTATGCGTTTGTCCATCTACAGTGCAGAGGATGATTCTTTTAAGGATTTTGGAGCAGCGTGGTTAAATAGTACTTGTTTTGATAGCAGTTATGAAAATGTTGGTAGTTGAGATGGATGAACTGACCAGAAGTACAGCAAAATGGCCGCTGGTGTCCTAGGCTGGTAGGTAGAAGCGAGACTAACTGTGGTTATGCAGGTGACTAGCAAGTTCTATCTAAAACATTCATCTTCCCAGCTCTCAGTTGGCTTCTACAAAGTAAGTGGGAGAAAAGAAACAACCCATTTATTGCACTTGCTGAAGGTCTAATCCGGCTCTTCAAGCTTAGTGTTTTCCATCCTGTTTTCTTCTGAAGTCAAAGTAGCGGCTGTTTCCTGTGGAGCAGGATAGCGGTAGCAGAATAGAGTTGAGCAGTGTCCATAACCTGCTCTGAACAGTGAACTGTTTTATATGTTTTCGTGTCACATCATTGTATTTGTTTGGGGTTTCTTAAGTGTTAAGGTTGAGAGTTGAATTTGTTGCTATTTCCAAATATTAAGATATGTACACTTCCGTGATAATTCTGGCTTTCCTAATAATCCTCATTCAGGCCTGTGTTAGTCTTAATTGGCATACTCACTCGCTATACCTGTTTGTTTCTGACAGTAAGCTTATGCAGGTTTGGTTTTCTTTTGTTGTTATTGTTGTGGGGGATGGTTTTGTTGTGGGCTTTCAGTTATTGTGGTGTGGTTTTGTTTTGTTGTTGTTTTGTTTTGTTTTTTTAACTCCTCTATGTCCTGGAGCCAGTATTAGCTGTAGTGCACTTGCTCTAGAAGTTGTTTACTGTTGATACTGAGAACGATTACTATTGATATTCTAGGATAAACTGAGGAACTTCTTGTTTAGCTATTTTGATTGTTGTACTTTTAGTGGTGGCTGTTTACTGTTTGCTGGTGGTTTCTATTTGGATGGTTGGGAAATATTCTGGGGGACTTCAGTGTAATGGAGTAGATCTGCTCTGCATGCTTCTGAACTACGCAGTCTGTGCATGGTTGCCTGCGGTTGCTGGGGAACAAACTTGATCTTCCAGTCCTTTTTTTCCTATGAGTTGGTTGTACTGACAACTGAATTATTTGCCGTTAAAAAAATAAATAAAATCGAGAGGCATTAGTTGAAAATCATATACCTCTCCTCTCTAGCTTCTACAGATGTTTTACAGAATAATCACATATTGTGTTTTTCACCAATCCACAAAGAGTTAAAGTTGCTCGGTTGCTTTCCAAATCTGGGCAATTGGTATAAATTTTGGAAAAGTCTTGAGTTACACTTATGCACTTAAGAATGCTTGTTTGCTTGATCAGTCTCCAAGACATGTCCGCCTTTTCGCTTCTTGCTGTGAAGCACAGCAGCAATTCTTCTAATACTTGATATAATCTAGAAATCTGAGATTTGTCACTGTAAACATCTGGAATGTAGTCATACTATTAAAAATTGTTCAGGATTATAACTAAGCCTATTCAGGCAAGGGGTTGATGGATGGAGAGATATGTATATAAAAAATAGGTATATGTATGTACTTTTGGGGATGAGGGAAGCTTAATCAAGGGAAGGACTGCTTCTTCTACTAATATCAGTGTGACTTGCAGAGCGCAGCAGTTAATAAAGTTAGACCTTAAGTGTCTGCTTTGAAGTATGAAACCCAGCAAGCTGCTGGAACATATTAAACTAACATCCTTGTTCTCAGAGATGCAAGTCCTGCAGTTCCTTATGAGATACCGGTACTCCAACTGAAATTAATAAACCGTAAGCAGTTCAGGGCATGGCCTGCCTTTGTCTCTTACTACCATTATAGTGCCATGTCTCTCGCTGGTGTTTTGCATGCAGCTATTAACTATGTTACAATTAAGAGATGGTAGATTTTTGAGTGAGAAGCAGAAGAATTCCATGGTTGGTTTTGGGTTCCCCGCCACCTTTCGTTGTAAAACCACATATAAGAATATAAACAGATTTCTTAGTATCTGTTTCTCTTTGCTTCAGGCTGTTGAAAATCTCTGCTCCTACAAGATTTCTGCAAACTTGTACAAACAATTGAGACAGATCTGTGAAGACCACATTAAAGCACAAATTCACCAATTCAGAGAATATCCTTTTTTTAGCTGTTGACAAGCCAAAACGTTTTTACCTGCCAGTGTGTGGTGATGGATTTCTTTAGTTCATGACAGTAGGCCGTGGTAATCTGAATTCCTAGTTTTTGCATCATTGGGTCTTTTTTTTTTTTTTTTTTGTGGGACCTCAGAGAACACTACAGTTCTTTTATGTCTGTAACCATTTGAAAAGTTTGTGAGAAAGTTTCATTGGTATTTGTGAAGCACTTTGGCGTCTTACAAAAGCTCATATTAGACTTACAGCAAGGCTTAAAAAGGCTTTATTGGCTATATCACTTCAGGCTTTTTGATGTGCTGATCTTGCCGTGCTCAGGATTGAGACAGATCTGTGAAGACCACATTAAAGCACAAATTCACCAATTCAGAGAATATCCTTTTTTTAGCTGTTGACAAGCCAAAACGTTTTTCCCTGCCAGTGTGTGGTGATGGATTTCTTTAGTTCATGACAGTAGGCCGTGGTAATCTGAATTCCTAGTTTTTGCATCATTGGGTCTTTTTTTTTTTTTTTTTGTGGGACCTCAGAGAACACTACAGTTCTTTTATGTCTGTAACCATTTGAAAAGTTTGTGAGAAAGTTTCATTGGTATTTGTGAAGCACTTTGGCGTCTTACAAAAGCTCATATTAGACTTACAGCAAGGCTTAAAAAGGCTTTATTGGCTATATCACTTCAGGCTTTTTGATGTGCTGATCTTGCCGTGCTCAGGTAAACAGAAAAGTCTTCCAACAAGTAGTTCTTGTTTTCTTTTTGAAAAGTGCTAGTGGTCTGGCAGCATACAATGTTAGTGGTTCAGAGGATCAAAATGTTTTATTTTCAAAAGTTTTGAGTTGCATCAGATCAAGATCCTGTTAAGTGGATATTAATTAGTACCAGAACTATGCAGTAAACTGAATACAAGTTAAATTTCAAGAAAAAATTTCTCTTGTAAGGTTCTCTCTTAAGATGAGCTGAAATTAAAGTAGCTGTGTAGTGGTGGGCTCTTACATGTATTGTGGATCATTTGTTTTTGAGGTGTGGGGATATGTATGTTTGTTCTGATCCCCAGGGATGGGAGATTGGACAAAACATTCAAAAGTATTTAGATACTTTTTTTAAAAAATCATTCAGATAATTTTGATTTCTCATTATTAACACAAGGATCCTCATTTAAAAATAAGTAAGTTGCAAGAAGTTAACTGGTTCTTTTGGGGAGTAGGCGAGTTTGTTGTGCTCTGTTAAGTGTCTTTAAAAAAAAATAGTAATGTTCGTTCATTTCATTGCTAACGCTACCTATTAATCATAATTTTCTTAATGATTTCTTCATGGATTCATTGGATAGTGTCCTTTTTCTAAAGAAAATAGACAAATGTTGGCAAGATCACTGCAGACAAATGGTAAGTTTTTTATCTTTTTAAAGAAAACCAGTTGCCTAGTCAGCCTGTGTTTTGCTTAACTTTGTTCCTTTACAAACGCACTGTGCTCCTGAAATATTGTCTTAAATTTATATAAGGCTTCTTTGTGACATACAGCTGTATCTAGTTTGTTAGAAATCTAGTCTTGAAAATACTTGTCTGTAGTGTGTCTCTTGACACATTGGTCTGATCTTCGACACACACACACCCCCACAAACACACCCAACTCCTAACTGTTGTTTCTATGCAAACCTTTCTTCTTTTATACGTATTATGAAAGTCCCTATTCTTTTATACAGAAAGATGCTAAATGTCACATTGATCATCTCACTCAGATTGGCAGAATATTTTAAACAAATCAACACTGTCTAAGAAAGCACTACCTGAAACCTGTCAGTGGGATTTTTTTTTGTTGCTGAACAGAATTTGTGTTGCTCTTCAATTTCAAGAGTAAAATGATTGTGGCTTTTTTATTCTTTCTCATAACAGATTATGATTAGAAGCATCTTTTTGTTCTTGGATCGAACTTATGTACTTCAGAATTCAATGCTGCCGTCTATTTGGTAAGGGCACAAAGAATAAAATTATTGGGGAGTATACTTAAATTATCACATACATCTTGCTGATTTTCAGGGGTTTTAACACAAACTTTGTAGTGACCTGTAAATTAGATGGTGAATGCATACATGCTTGTTGCAAAGGGAGATTTCACTTTTAATTTGCTTGCCATGAATTACAGGATTCTTCTAGAATAGCTGTGATAGCAAATTTCAGCTAAGTCGATCTCAGACTCTGGTTTGCACACTAAAAGGAAAGGGCCTGCTCAACAACTGAAGCGCAAGGGTTTGGGCTGCCCAGTTACTGGCTTTAACATTGCATAGTGTTCAAAGTTCTGTAAGTATTTTTGAAGGAAAGAGTTACCTAAAATAAAAGCAAGTTATTCTCTTTTGGACTTCAACACCCCCACTCTCCCCCAATATTTTAATAATTTGCAAATGCCCTACAGTGCCTTCGGCACTACCTGAATTACTTTGAAGGAGCGGTGGATGGAGGTCCTGGCTTTTCCTAAAAGTGTCTAGACCCACAGTTTTCAAATTCGTGGAAGGTTTTAACTGGCCAAAGCAGAGATCCTTGTCTTTCACATCACTGAGTTCTTCTAAGCTCTGCCTAAGAATCAGAGATTAGAAAGTGATGGACAAAAAAAGAATACTGTCCAACAGCTTAACCGTGGAATTGGGACACAGGATGACATTATCCTTTTCTCGTGAAGGCTGCTGTTCATTCAGTTTCTATCATCCTGCCAACCAAGTGGAAAATAAAGATGCTGCAAAAGTTAGGTGGTTATTTGGGAAAAAATATGTGCTTTGGTCTTTAAAATCTGCAGCTTACTGTTGATGGTTTGTCATGGTTTATTTTAGTGTTTATGTGTTTGTTCATCTTGAGCGATTTGGGGGCAGAGGAGTGAGGAATTTAAAGAATGCTAGTATTTATTGGCCTCTCTTTGATCTAGATCAAATTTTATTAATAGAGAATATTTGGGGTTGATTCTTACGCAGTTTATTGAACAGTCTTTATTTTCTTTTCAGGGATATGGGGCTAGAATTGTTTAGAACTCATATAATCAGTGATCAGAAGGTTCAGAACAAAACTATTGATGGCATTCTTCTGCTGATTGAGAGGGAAAGAAATGGTGAGGCTATTGATAGAAGTTTACTGCGAAGCCTTCTAAGCATGCTTTCTGACTTGCAGGTGAGTGAACTTGTTTAACCTTTAAACCAATAAACAGCTCAGATTCTTATTTAGTGATCACTAAGCTTTACCCTGGACTGCTATTGTGTTGTTTCCCTAGATTTATCAAGACTCTTTCGAGCATAGATTCTTGGAAGAGACTAACCGCCTGTATGCAGCAGAGGGACAGAGGCTTATGCAGGAACGAGAGGTATTTTGAATGTTTAACAGTATTTGTTACACCTAATGATGACAAAGCATTTGTCAGGAGCTATTCTGCTGCCTTAGCCAGTGTACAAGGCAATAATGTGGCCTTTGTTTTATAGTACTCTGAAAAAGCAAATTCACATGCAGTTGCCTTCAGTCACAGTGCTAACGTTTTCTGCTTAAAACTGGAGCTGCTGCTGCTGTCAGACCAGTATTGTCTTTTTTTTTTCCTCTTGATTTTTTTAAAACATACAAAACTACTCTGGCATTTTCAGGTTCCAGAATATCTTCACCATGTCAACAAGCGCTTGGAAGAAGAAGCAGACAGGATAATCACTTATTTAGATCAGAGCACGCAGTAAGTGCAATCTCTCTTTGCTTGGTATTGTTAGCTGTTTGGCTCTTCTTCTGTTGAGGGCTATCTAATAGCTACAATTTATTTCAGTTATTGACTGACCATCAAATGCTTCTTACTTCCCACAATTCTTTGTTTACAATGAAGCACTGTCTTGGCTCACACAGCTAATATCCTTTTCTTTTAAGCCACTAGTTATTTTGACATAAACGTTGTTGGCATTTGGTCAGAGAAAAATAGGCTGCTACCCCCAGTCTAAATGTCTCTTTCTTGCTGAAATGCAATTAATCAGCTGTCGTCCTATCTGAAAAAAGATAGGACCCAGGATAGAAGATTCTTAAGCTAAAGGCTCTGAATATTTACATTAAAATACTTGCATATTCTTTATGGAGTCTGGGAGATGATTGACTAATGTCACTCTTCAGTCCTTTCTACTTAGAGGCAGGATTTCCTCAAATACTATCAAGTGGAGGTCATGACTGGTAGAACAGGAGAAATGTTCTCCTAACATAAAGCCACAGCTGTCATGTCTGAGAGAAAATGTAGGTCACTAATATAACAAAACTCTTAAGCAAGTGGCAGCAACTTCTTAAAGAGCAAGTACAGAGGATCTCTCTGAGGGGAAGGTGTTTTATTGCTACCATCATACATTTTTTTTATTTCCTTCCTCCTTCAGCTGTTAAAAACATTTAGCTTGTTTAGTGGCTTCCTTCTTCCACACCATTATTAGTGGCCAACTCCCTATTTTGTTTTAATACCTCTCAACTTGTGAGATGTGTTTTTTCTTCTCCTTGGTTTGTCTCTCCTCCCCCAAAGCAAGAGAAGGTATATTGTTTGACAAACTTTTGCCCAGTTTCTTCACTGATGGAATCATTGTCTGGCTGCATAGAGGTCACGTACAACAGGCTTATTGTGTGAATTAAATCCTCAGTCAGCAAACAGAAAAAAAGATTGCTTGCTGGGGAGGCAAAAGGATAAATATGTGTATAATCATTTTAGGTCCTTGGCCACGGATAATTAGAGCACTCCCAATGGCAAGTGTAGTTAACATAATCTCAAAAAAAGGATTTAAAACTGTCAATAATGGAAAAAGGAAAAGTAATTCTAAACGTTTTTTCTATAGGAAGCCACTAATTGCTACTGTAGAAAAGCAACTTCTAGGTGAACATTTAACAGCCATTCTTCAGAAAGGTAAACTTTCTTCTTTATAGAAATGTTTCTGATTACTGCTTCGGGGCTTTCAATTCCTGTGCTGAAAAAGAAAGTGACAGATTCAGGTGCTGGGGGAGGACACAAGCTACCTCATTCTTTAACGCCCTTTGCTACTCAGTTCATGGTAGAGCATTGACCATTTTGCAAGAGGGCAAATACCATTCTCCTTGTCAGGGGTAAGGAGACGCAATGCTGTCTTCAGATGCACACCAAAGCAAAAGGAAAACTAGAATAGGGGACTCTTGAGTTCAGTGTACTAAATAGCATTTTGAAGACTCAGAGGTAAAGGAGTAGCCTTCAAATTATGGCTGTACCAGAAAGGGGAAATACTGATTACTCGCTGCTCACAAAAAGCAGCTTGTTTTAAAAATTTAGTACAATTTGAGTAATGAAGTACATTGCCTCAGTTCTGCAATAGTCTCTGTGGTGTCAAGTGGCCCTCTGTTGCTCTGAGGGATAGTCTGGAAATAGATATGGGTGCAGCAAGAGCTGAATAATAAAAGAAAGTAACCAAGTCCTTACTAGCCAGGTTCTGGATGAAACTGGTATGTGAGCATCTTCCTGCACATCTGGAACAAACTCTGCTGAGAGGAGTATCAAGTTTGCAATATTTACCCATCTACTTTCTTAGAACCTTGCTGTGGAGCATCAGGCCTTCTCTGCCAAAAAGTTAAAAAGTGAAAGGTGAAGATATTTCTTGAAGCTGCTTGCCTTCAAACGTCTGTAAAATTTATTTTACAGCTGGAATTGAGACTCAGAGCTCTGTCTTGCCAAGGAGCCTTTCCTGCAGATCAGCAAAGTGTAAACTTTTCAAATCTTTAGGGAATAGTAAAGCAGAAGTAAGCAAGGTGTTGTGATAAGTATGTTATGTAAAGCACATGTAGCCTAAGATAGCCATTGCAATAACAAGGTTTTTAAGGTTTGAGCCAGTTTAGGTAGCCATTCTGTGTTTCAGTGTTAAATTAGGTGGCTTAAAAAAAAAAACCCACTACCACTAATTGCTTGATAAAAAATACTGGCTTTGAAGAGGTCCCTTACTGTAATAATATGCTGCGCTTTCTTTGGATTACTCTGGTTTTAATTTCTATTGAAATTCTCTCATTTGCAGGTTTAAACCACCTTCTCGATGAAAACCGAATTCAAGACCTGTCTCTTCTGTATCAGTTGTTCAGTCGTGTGAGAGGCGGAGTACAGGTTCTCTTGCAACACTGGATTGAGTACATAAAGGTACTGTTTCTAGAACTCTGGAACAGATACCGCTCTTGTATCGATGGGGTTTATACACAGATATTTGAGTCATCTCTATAAACTATTGCATTTTTCTAAGAAGTAAAGACTACTTGCTTATAAGCATATATTTAATGGGCAGCTTTTGAAACTGTACTAGGAAAAGTACAGTCACTGTTCTAGCCCTATTGAAGCAAATATTGAACGTTCCATTGAATTATTAAACTCCAAATAAATTTGGCTTTTAATAATAATAATCTTGCTTATAGTTAGTTCCGGGTGACAGCTATATTTCTCCAATAGACATGTGGTAATGACAATGTTTCTGTCTTCCCCCTGCGAAAACTTCTTGTCAGAATGAGTGATAACTTAAGTTACCAACCAATTGAAGTTCAAAAAGCACTTGAATATCACTTACCATGTTTCATCTTATTACTCAGTGAAAATTTTGTTATAGAAAGTATGGTTGTTGTGAAGGAAGGCTTCATAATGGTATAGGAGTACTGTTAAATAAAATTGAGTTTAGTGGGAGCTATACTTGTGTAAAACCGGAGGGTATAGATGTTTAAAAAGGGTGCGTTAATTTTGTCATGCTTAAGTTTATTTCTTCAGACAAAAGTTCTGAATCTGTTCACTTATTCATAGACTGGTTTTAAATCAACATACAAGGTCTGGGAATTATTATATAGTAAACAGTTCATAATGCTATTAATTCTATTGTGTTAGTGGAACTAATATGAATACCAGAAACAAGACATTACAAAGATAACTTAGGCTTTTAGAAGTCTTGTCATTTAAATTCATTATTCAGGCTTATTGAAAGATATGTTTTATTTTGCAGGCATTTGGTAGCACCATAGTAATTAATCCAGAAAAAGACAAAACCATGGTCCAAGAACTACTTGATTTTAAAGACAAAGTTGACCATATTATTGATGTTTGCTTTCTCAAGAATGAGAAGTTTGTAAATGCCATGAAAGAAGCCTTTGAAACATTCATTAACAAAAGACCAAATAAGCCAGCTGAACTCATAGGTATTTTTTCTTCAGTTTCTTCCCATGTGAGAATTTGGGTGGGGGACAAGAGGGAGTTGCTGATGCAGCTTACAGATGGGATATGATGGAACTGTGTGTTAAAAGGCATTATTATGCACAATACGTTGTTAAACTGGGGATCTACTGTGCCTTACTATGCAAGTGAATTATTTGGTAGTATAGCATTAAAAATTAAGAACAAGCTCTGTTCATCAGTTCACTGGCTAGGCTATAGAAAAGTGAACAACATTAGAACTTAGGCATTCCAGCAATTGACTGGTGTCCAGATGTGAGAATACCACTAATAATTTGACTTCAAAAGCTTACATAACTGTGCCAACAACACACGTGCACAGAGCTATTAGGGGCTCTACATAGATATCTATATTTTAATATATAAAAGTGAAGAGAGATGAGGATGCACTGTACCTCTCGTGATGTGGGGACAGAGCCTCTCTAGTTTGCAAAGAATGTTGTTTACAGATTTGTGCATTACAAGCCTGGCTCTCTGCACTTCTGAATACCTTAATCATTTCCCCACACAGTGAATAATACCTGCTTTGCAATCTGTTGTGCTGTTAGGCTTGTGGAGTAATGCCTTCTACCCCCCTTTTTTTAAATTAATTCACTAACTGTAATGTGCTTACCAAACCATTTGAAATTAAAACAAACAGTAATCTGCTAGAGAAATTCAGCAGCATAGTCAACACATGTAAATAACTGGTTTACATATTTTTCTTCTGATCTTTTTGCTTCTGTTATAGCCATGTCAATCTAAAGCAATAGTGACTTTTTACTTTGAGTTCATAATATGGACCAGAATTTTTTACATATGCAGAAATCTTTTTTTAACATTATGTATGCTAATAAAGTTAAGATGCAGTAATTGCTTATCTGGAAAAGGAGATTAGGCTATAATGTTTTTATAACTTCATAGCCTCTTTGAAAATATATCAAGCCAGCTGTGATGAAACTGATTTGAAGATAATTTCAGGATCCTTTACGTTTCCAAAAACGTCACAATATTCGATTAAAAAAAAAAAAATTAAAATTGTTGTTTCATTGTAATACTAAGCATATGCTAAACTTTTTATTCCTTAATGTTCTTTTAGCTAAATATGTAGATTCAAAGCTTCGTGCAGGCAACAAAGAAGCTACTGATGAAGAACTTGAAAAAATGCTGGATAAAATTATGATCATATTTAGATTCATATATGGTAAGTGTCGGGTTTTTTGTCGAGATGCAGTTGTTTAATCAGTAACGTAAAGGTACTTTGAAATAATTTTTGCAGTCTGTCTGCGTTTTCAAGTGTGCGTGCTCTGTAGATGCAGTTTGCTGGTGTAGTGCTGTTTAACTAGTTTGCATGTTAAAATGCCAACAACAAAACCTGACTCAAAATCTGTGGAAATCTTAATGTGAAGGATCTTATTAGCTTTACTGAGCTTTGAATTGGGCCTCTTGTAGGTAATGCTTGTTTAAAACAAACAATGATTTGTGATCACTGTCAAATCTCATCTCTTACAGGAAAAGATGTCTTTGAGGCCTTTTATAAAAAAGATCTAGCAAAGAGACTATTAGTTGGGAAGAGTGCATCAGTAGATGCTGAAAAATCTATGCTTTCCAAACTCAAACATGGTAAATATCTGTCTGTCTATCTATTGGCTTGCTTTCTTTTAAAAATAAGTTGGTTTAACATGCCTTCCCAGAAGTGCTGTTTGTATTTCCCCTTTACCTGAGGGCAAAACCCCCGTGTGCAAGTCTTGAAAGACTGGTGGGTTTTGAAGAGACTCATTTGCTTTTAGTTTTGTAATTATAGCAGCAATATCCAAAAACCAGGAGCTTAAAGTGCATGGTGTATCTTGGCTGGCAGGATAGAATTGAGGTGCCCTGCTGAATAAATCAGTGATGTGCTCAGAGAACTTGAGGATGACTTCTGCTTGTTATTCACTCCATATAAGGTCTGAAACATGAAGCTGCCAGCTAGCAGTCTTCTAGTCTGGTCTTCATTGTTTCATAGGATGGAGTCTTTGGGTGGTAAGAGTAAGATATTTAGAACTTGATCTTATTTTATCATCAAGAGACAGTTTGGTAGGCAGCTGATAGAGATTAGAATTGTCATCTGAGTGACAGGTTGCCAGTGGAGTCCTAGGATGAACAGTCATGTCCACGTGGAAAAACAACTGGCTTGCAAAACAGCTGCCACATTAAAACATTCTCCCCCTTCTTGTTTATAACTTTATCCTGTATCTTAATTAGAATCCAGGTCTTTATGTAAGAACATATGCTGAAATAGGTCGTCTTGCTTCGAAGTACATTCTGATACTTAAGAATAACTACTCTATGGTGTTGAAAATAAACAAGCTTAATTTTTAAGATTTACATTTCCTCTTTTATAGAATGTGGAGCTGCTTTCACCAGCAAACTTGAAGGAATGTTTAAAGATATGGAGCTTTCAAAAGACATAATGATACAATTTAAACAGGTACGGTGGGAAAGCCTGCCCTGGCTCCATCATTTACTTGCTTTTTGAATGAGTTTTTCTCAGAAAGCCTAATGAGAGGGTGCAGGATGTCTTCAGTTGTGAACATTTCTATTGTAATTGAGTTGAACTCCGTTTGAATTATTCCAGTTGTCTGTAATGTTCTTTCACTACAGAGAAAAGGACTTTGTAGGTGATTGCTTTCAAAAGGAGTGGACAAAAGCCCAACTGGGAAAACAGTCTCTACTGAAAATCAGTTGGAATCTATTTCTTAATTCTGTGCTGTCTGTGCTTTTGAAAATTTTACTGGATTTATTAATGCTTTTCCTGAACAACAAAGCAAAAAAACCTGAAAGAAGCAGCAGCTTAAAAAAAAAAAAACACACACACACAGTAATAAAAGAAGAATTGTAAACTTATAAAACATTTTAACACCAGTTCTAAAACATTTTTAACACTGCTATATTCTGATGGACTGGCTTGTAAATTTTTGCCCATTAGTTCTGGTGCTTCTGTAATGTTTTGATTACAAGCTAATTTTAACATTCTTTCCTCCATTCACACATAATTAGGTACACCTTCACATCAGCCTGCTAAAACACTTCTGCCATTTTCTTCCTGTATGAAAGTGCCTTTAGAACTTCTGAAAAGTGCTTTTTCTTATCCTAATTTTCTTGTATGTAACTTGCCATTTATACAGCAAAGACATCATAAGGTCATCTTTCTGTGCTCTCATAATGCCTGTTCTAACTAACTTTTCAGTTCTACCTGAAATGTGTTTAATAAACATTGCTTTATTTCAGTTTCCTTTGTTTCTTTCTGCAGTATATGCAAAATCAGAATGTACCTGGCAACATTGAACTAACAGTGAATATTCTGACTATGGGTTATTGGCCAACCTACGTGCCTATGGAGGTCCATTTGCCCCCGGAGGTAATGAATATAGATGTATCATACCAAGTATCAGTAATGCTTCATGAGATCAACTGCAACTTGGTTTTAAATATGCATATAATCTCTAGAAAGAAATGCAGAAGTGTTTGGGTTTTTTTTAAATAAAGTTTGTTTTCTTTTCTTGCAGTTCCTTTAATCTTTCTAAGTCTTTATTTAAGGCTTATTTGACTGTGGAGGAGGGAAGGATGTTTTTAAAGTAGAAATTGTGTTTTACTGTTTTGGGTTTCATTTCTTTTTAGATGGTAAAACTGCAGGAGATTTTCAAGACCTTTTATTTAGGAAAACACAGTGGTAGGAAACTTCAGTGGCAGTCAACACTAGGACACTGTGTACTAAAAGCAGAATTTAAAGAGGTGAGTGTATTGTTCCTCTTATTCCTGTTGCTTTGCTGATTCCAAGTCTGGGTTGTACCTTAGAGATATATCGGGAAGCTTTTTTGTACTGTGATGGAAAACTTAGCACTGTTTTTGCAATTACTTTTAACCTCTTGCTATTATTTCTGGACTTGGTAGTTTCTGAAATAGATCTATTGAGGTCTAAGAAGATGCATCTGTTTTCTGTATCGGTGGAAAAAAAAAGTTGCTGGTTACTGCTTGGGGAAAATATCCAGTGGGTTTAGTTCCATATTAAAAATGGCACTAATTTTTATACG